GGCAGGTCAAGGTCAAGTGACATTAGCAACCTGTGTGTGGACAACTGAACTGAGTCATATGTCTGTGCTGATCACTGTTAATGAGAGATGGGATGTGTGACACATACAGTCGGGGTCATAAATCTATGTCTTAATCTGAAGTTGAATGCCACTGAAAAAGTCTTTCTTGCTTCTCACCTGGTGTCGTCTTCTGTTAAAGCCTTTAGGACAGTTCTGGATGATGGGAGGTTGGAGGGAAGAACATAATCTTGAAAGAACAGCAGAACCCACAGCTAATAAAATAGAACAAAAATAAAACTATATTCTGGTCTGTGGCTATACTGTATGCTCGAATCTATTGTTAAGGCTAATAATTCCATTTGCCTCATCTGTAAGCGCGTTTGTTGCCAGTCACTTTGTTCCTAATGCATTGCAATTGCGGCTTCAGTTCTGAAGGCTTCTTGCTGGGTTCTGCTCGTATTCATCAGAGGTTGCTCAGTCTGTGATCTGGGACTGTTCAGCAGCTAGGGACATTTCCATTGATGAAGAACAAATGATGCCTGTCATTCTCCTCATACCTAGTCTCATCTCCCATGATGCCATAGTATCTCTTTTTGTTTCAGTTGAAAATCTACTTGTAAAACAACATTTTTATTGACATACGGTATCAAATATGAACACATTAATCCTCTGTGTGTTGTGACAGGTGCAGTTTATGAAGGAGCTGTGAATATCTTTGTATACATGGCCTCACTTTGGACACGAGGGACAGTATTTTGAAATAACTAGTCGTTTGATTTTTGGAACAGAGAAGCTCTGTACTTTTAGAAATCAGGTCCTTTGAATGTGCCTTATTGTAGATACCCTAGATCAACTAACACTGAGTCTTTTTTTAACCTTAGCTGGTCAAGAATATCTTTTGGAAACAGCCACCCAATATCTCTGTGATGCTTGTTAAAATCCTGTAAAGCAGGTTGTTTCTTCTGTACAGCAAAAGTGCCTGAATGGTGTGGGAAACATGACTTTGACATGTCACTCCCCTCTCTGACAAGATTGCTCAATATTTATTTTTAAGATGTACAGAGACTGTTGGTTAAATTACGTAGTATGTGTGTGCCAGGTGTAAATGTGTGTGTGTGCATACGTGATGGTTATTTAAACCTCTGAAACTAATTATGGTCTTTGGAATAGGAAAAAAAAATGTGTTAGATGATGATATTGTTTCAACATATTGAAACTTTTCTTTTTTTTCTTGAAGGCATTAAAAAGGGTTGGAAAATCTGTAAATATTCAAGAAGTAATGGATCAGTGGACACTGCAGATGGGTTATCCTGTTATCACTATCTTGGGAAATGAAACTACAGACAATGTCATAGTGATCTCCCAAGAACGTTTTGTTTATGATAGTGATGCTAAACCCAAGGATCCTGCCGTTGGAGACAACAGGTACTTAAATTTCTCAATTAATATCTTTCAAGAGGCTGTAGGTGTTTAAGTAAGTGCTTCATGTGTGTATTTTTATAAAGATGGCTCTTTAGAAATCTCTGGGCTTTACTTGTTGTCAATAGCATGTGGTGACCCTTCCATTTGAACTGCAGTAAAGATGAGGCTAGTTAAAAGAGTTGAAAAAAATCATTAGAATATAGAACAACAGGATAAGGCTTTTAATGTGCCCATTTGCATCCTGACAGTTCTCTCTGTGACTACGTCTTATGTCTTACATCACACATCTATTTCCTCTCCTTTTCTTTTGATTTTGTCACACTCCATGAAGTAATTTGGAATATGGTTGGAAGGTCTAATACTTATTAAGTAATTCTTTGAAGTGGACCTCTCCATGCTCATACATTGAGTAGGCAGATGTAACCATGTGTCAGATACGTATCTTGCTTAACTTGGGAAGCAGTCAAGAGCTGAACTGGACCTTTGTACAAGGCAGGGGGTTCCAGCTGCTCCATTTTTGAAACCAGCAGAATTGGTCCTGTGGGGACTGTTACATTGGCTGAAATCAGTGGGCACTTATGCATCTCTGCCCCTACTCTTTTTCCACCTCTTAGATTGTTTCGATCCTGCACCCAGCTGATTCCACACACTTCCTTCATCCCTGAGGCAAGCTGACATTCTTGGCTGATGCTGAGGAATCCTCATCTTATTGTTTAAAGCAGTTTTGGCATCATATTCTGAGGCCAAGAATATAGAGCCAATGCTAGAGAATTACAAGATAACCTTAGAAGCTTCTGTGTTCACCTATTCATGCTCTTTTTTGCATGCTGTCAACCTTGAGTACTCTGTCCAGCAAATTTAAATCATTGAAAGGTAAAATTTAATACCAAATTTTGATTAGTATGTCTGGAGCTTATAGAATATTCCTGTTGAGGAAGGCCTAAAAATAAGGTTATGTTTATTAGGAAATGTTTAGACATTCGTTATCCTTTTTTAGAACATTAATATTATTAAAGTCAAACATGACAAAGGGTAAATAGTTGTTTTTCTGTCTGTATTGGAATAACCTAGCAGAGTATTAAGCATCTCTAAGTTTCTGGCTTAAATGGGTTTCTTTGTGAAGAAGAGATAAAACAAGTGAATATGGACTGTTGGCAGTGTTCATGACTCACAGTTCAGTGCAGCATGAGGGAGATTTTTCCCTTATGCACTTGAAAATTTATTTTGTGCAAGTGTATACACATACAATGTAGTGTGAGTGGATTTTGCTACTTGGGAAAACAGAGGTGTTAAGCCTTTTAAGTATTGTAGACGCTTTTGTAAATAGATTTGCTAGGTACTCAGTATTGATTGCAATAACTGCTGCTGTAATTCATGAGTAAAGACTACTGGGTGTGTAAATGTTTTGTAAGGTGGAATATTGGGGTGATGTGGTGGGTTGACCCTGGCTGAACACCAGGTGCCCACCAAAGCTGATCTATCACTCCCCCTCCTCAGCTGAGCAGGGGAGAGTAAATATAACAAAAGACTTGTGGGTCAAGGTAAGGTTAGGGAGATCACTTGGCAGTTAACATCACAGGCAAAACTGACTCGACTCAGGGAAATTAGTTTAATTTATTACAAATCAAAATCAGAGTAGGATAATGAGAAATGAAACCTAAATGTTAAAACACCCTTCCCCCGCCTCTGCTGCCTTCCTAGGCTCAACATCACTCACAATTTTCTCTACCTCCTCCCCCCGGCAAGTGGCACAGGGGGACAGAGAATGGGGGTTGCGGTCAGTTCATCACACTGTTTCTTCTGCTCCTTCCTCCTCAGAGGGAGGACTCCTCACATTCTTCCCCTGCTCCAGTGTGGGGTCCCTCTTACAAGAGACAGTCCTCCACAAACTCTCCACATGGGAGACAGTCTTCCATGAGCTTTTCCAACGTGAGTCCTTCCCATGGGCTACAGTTCTTCATGAACTGCTTCAGCATGGGTCTACAGGTCCTGCCAGGAGCCTGCTCCAGTGCAGGCTTCCAATGGTGTTACAGCTTCCTTTGGGCACCCACCTACTCTGGTGTGGGGTCCTCCATGGGCTACAGGTGGATACCTGATCCACTGTAAACTGCCATGGGCTGCAGGGGGACAGCCTGCCTCAGCATGATCTTCACCATGGGCTGCAGGGGGGAATCTCTGCTCCAGCACCTGGAGCACCTCCTCCATCTCCTCCTTCACTGACTTGAGTATCTGCAGAGTTGCTTCTCTCGCATGTTCTCCCTCCTCTCTCTGGCTATAGCTACTCTCGTGCAGTAATCTTTTTCCCTTTCTCATGTATGTTATTCCAGAGGTACTACCGCTGTTGCTGAAGGGCTCAGCCTTGGCCAGCAGTGTGTACATCTTGGAGCCAGCTGGCATTGGCTCTATTGGATGTAGGGGAAGCTTCTAGCAGCTTCTCATGGAAGCCACCCCTATAGCTGCCCCTCCCTCCCCCTACCAAAACCTTGTCACAGAAACCAAATACGAGTAAGAATTAGACTTAGTTTTATTTTCATATGTGACATTAATTCAGAATTCACACTGTATCTTGTGATAGATGGAAGACTAGTGTTCTACACCAACAGGGCAAGTTATGATGTGTTTCTTAGGAGATTTTGTCTACAGATTTTATGACAATTAGGATTTCTTAACATTGGAAGTAAGATTTAGTGCTGTAGAGAGCACAGAGAAAGATAGCAGCATGAGCCCTGCCAGGAATTTACTATCCTTAACAGGCAGTACAAAACATATTACATGTATCTGCTTTGGCAAGTCCCTTTCCTGTTCTCTTCCCCCTTTGGATTTGTTTTTCTCTGTGCTTCCATGTTCTTCTAACCACAAATGGGAAGGTAACCCCTTGCCCAAGGAAGGCTTACAGATGGGATGTTTACTCCAGCCAGTTAGATGGTGAATGTAATTTGCCACTTCCCAGTTGAAGTTATTTGAAAGTCGTGTTAGTTAAGTATAAATACCAAAGAACATGAACTGTATGCATTTAGCAATAGATGAAACTTACCTATGCGATTCACCTTTCCAAAATCATCCACCAGTTTATATTAAAGTCATATGGCTTAGTTATGAATTAGTGTCCAGAGTGTTGTAACAATGACCATGCAGTTAGTTGGTGCACTGCCCACAGACACATGTGGCTTGGTATGCACAATGGCTCAGTGTCATTAAATGTCCTTTCATACCACCAAATGAAGTAGAAAAACAAGATTGACGTACTGAAAATAAATTTAATCTTTTTGCCAGCAATGCCCTAGATCTTTTTCAACTTTTTTTGTGTTTGTTTTTTCATTGGAAAAATCATTGTTGCTTTGATTATTGTGAAAGCAGTAGATGGGGAAAATCACATTAATGTGATGTCATTTGGTAATTCAAGATACATTACCTTGGTTTTTAACATTGCAAGAGCTGAAGTTTGTTGAAACAAGGGGCCAGTTTGTCTGAGGCGGTATACACAAAGGGGGGCGGTAACTGGAATGGAAATAGCATGTTGACGGACATTCAGCACTACTGTGAATTGCAGTATTCTGGCTGATTTTGCAGGTGGCTTTGGTCAGGAAGTTGGCAATGGTTTGCTGACTTTCAGCATGCCGAGACAGCACAGGTAGATGTTGTGGGACACACAGAGGGGTATATATATATGTACATATATAATGTCAGCCTGCAGGCTTTTGGGGTGTTACATATTAGTGGCCTAATTCACAGTCCAATAAAGTCAGTGCCTATCTCCCCTCTGTGATGCATGAATTAGGCATTGGATGCGTGGCTCCCTGGGGAACCATAATAGGCACTGTAAATAACGGAGAGAGAATGGTATTTATGCCACATTTGAGGCCATGCTCTTGCAGGGCAAGCAATACTGGCTTCCTTAGGGCAGTTTATCTATGGATTAATTGTGATGATCATTTTAAACACTGTAAAGTGTAGAGCTGCACAAAACACAGAAAAATGTACAGGTCCAGGCCTTTCCAGGAGTTTATTATCTAAACAGACAACATGATATGCACTGGAAGGCTCTAGGGAAGGCTCCTAAAGCATCCATCTGCCATATAGTCTTCAGTTATCCAGAGGTGGGTCTGTAGTTCGGCATGGCGCAGCAATAAATGTCAGTTCTATTGCCTGCAAAGTGATGAGGAGTTTAAATTTCTGGTTCAGACCCTCTCTAAGCAAATTTAACTTCGCAGTACTGCAGGCCCAGAAGACCAATCGCATCCTGGGCTGTATCGAGAGAAGTGTGGCCAGCAGATCAAGAGAGGTGATTCTCCCCCTCTACTCTGCTCTGATGAGACCCCACCTGGAGTACTGCATCCAGCTCTGGGGGTCTCAATACAAGAAAAACATGGAGCTGTTGGAGTGGGTCCAGAGGAGGGCCATGAAAATGATGAGAGGGCTGGAGCACCTCCCTTGTGAGGACAGGCTGAGAGAGTTGGGGTTGTTCAGCCTGGAGAAGAGAAGGCTCTGGGGAGACCTTATAGCGGCCTTCCAGTGCCTGAGGGGGGCCTGCAGGAAAGCAGGGGAGGGACTGTTTACAAGGGCACATAGTGATAGGATGAGGAGCAATAGTTTTAAGCTAGAAATGGGTAGATTTAGATTGGATATTAGGAAGAAGTTCTTGACTGTAAGGGTGGTAAAGCACTGGAATAGTTTGCCCAGAGACGTGGTGGAGGCCCCATCCATGGAGATGTTCAAGATCAGGCTTGATGGGGTTCTAGGCAACATGATTTAGCTAAATCTGTCCCTGCTCACTGCAGAGGGGTTGGGCTAGATGACCTTTGGGGGTCCCTTCCAGCCCAATGCATTCTATGATTAAAGTCATTCCAGAATAGGTTTTTCAGATGTTTTTGCTGCATGAGAAATGTAACTAAAGAGGCATATGAATATTTCAAAACTATTCTAGTTTTATAAAATGTCTGTGCTTTTCTTTATGCTATGTATTTATGCAGCAATTAACTGTTAAAAATGAAATGTGAAGCAGC